CACCTCCCACAAAGACAACATCATCCTAAAGTTTGCGAACAACACTGCAGTGATAGGTTGCATCACTGGCAGGGACGAAGCAGTCTACAGGAGGGAGGTGGCCGGTCTGGTGTCATGGTGCAAGGACAATAATCTCAGCCTCAACACGGACAAGACGAAGGAGATGATAGTGGACATGAGGAAGGAGAGGAGAACTCATCAGCCACTGTTCATCCAGGGGGATCGAAGTGGAGAGGGTGAGCAGCTTCAAATACCTGGGCGTCCACATCAGTGAGGACCTCACTTGGACACTTAACACCACACAGCTGGTCCAGAAGGCCCAGCAGTGGCTGTACTTCCTGAGGAGGCTGAGGAGGTTTGGCATGTCACCTAGGATCCTCAGCAACTTCTACAGCTGCATCACTGAAAGCATCTTGACCGGCTGCATCACCGTCTGGTATGGCAGCACTACTGCTATGGACTGCAAGCGCCTGCAGAGAGTGGTGAAGACTGTGGAGAAGATCACCAGGATTCCACTGCCCTCTCTGCAGAGTATTTACCACCACAGGGTGCGTAGGAAAGCTGCCTCCATCCTCAAGGACCCCAAACACCCCCAGCACGGACTGTTTACACCCCTACCCTCCGGTTGGGTGCTCAAAAGTGTGAGATGCAGGACCACTAGACTGAAAAACTCTTTCTTTCCGACTGCCATCAGACTCCTAAACAGCTGACTCAGGATGTACTTCATGTAATTCCATCTGTACTGTTTACATATTCATTTTGCACATTCACAATTGCACACTCACTGCTGCGTATTTACACTCCACGGCTCCCACATAGCATATATTATCTCTGCATTATATTTTGTTCTTGTATTTTTATTTGCTTCCTTCACTTGCTGCTTTAAAGTGCCTTAGATTTGTGATTTTACTGCCTATTTAGATTTGTGTCACTCATCTACTTTATTTCACTTGTATTATGTGGCATTTGTGAGGACGGCAAAGTAAGAGTTTTATTGTACAGAGAAACACATTTCCTAACTGTGCATATGACAAATAAACACTTTGACCTTTGACCCTGACCTTGTGACAAACTGTACAAGGCAAACAGGAACCTTTAATAGTTAATCCAGCATTATTGTGATAGTTCCAGTTTGTATATATGTAGTGTAACTCACAGACACTATGGCAATGTTGTCCTACAACTATTACAACCTCAGCCTGCTCAGTGGGAGAAGTTTGACAATATTCAATATTTTTGTTATTGTCACATGAAAAGACCAAAATCAATAACATCCTAGCCTGTCTCTTAAACATATCATCAGTTTCTTATCAACATAATCATTGAAAATGATAATGGTGTCTGGTCATATTGTCCACGTCTGAATTCTATAATATCCTCAACTCTATGATCTAATAATTAAGATTAATTAAATTATCAAATACATATCTTAGATATCATTCAGTTGCATTTGTTTATTAAAACAATTTCGAACTACTAATTAAAATAAATTATTATTATAATTATATAAAATAAGTTATCTAAAAGGAAAAAAATATGTTTTTCAAATTATGTCGATAATATAAATTTTATTTCGGGGTATTTCCGCTGTTCTGACCAGGGAACTACGAATAAGAAACCAACTTCAGCTTCATCTAAGCGCTTCACGTCCGCTGCAGCAGGAGGGTCTGTTACTCCGGCGTTTTGTCATGACCTCTCCTTATTCATGCAGAGCAGGTCTGTTGTTACTCGGAGTGGAAATCGAACTGTGGCTTCTCGAAGGTCCAAACTTACCAAGAGACGGACAAAACCGGATACGGTTTCCTCTGTGGATGTAAAGGTCGAAGTGGAGGAGGCGAGGATCTCTGAGCAGAGACCCTCCTCATCGGGTAACGTTCATGTGAGACTGCTAGCTGAACATAAGACACCGGTGGTATAAACGTGTGGAAACGCATGAACTGTCATGCATTAGCTACTAAAAGGTTATTGCGCCTGCGCAAAGGCTGGGAAAGTTGTTCTTTGGTTTTGTTCACTGTATACCACTGTGTAAGGCATGCTACCGTTAAAGCTGTTGCAGACTAGACTTTATTTCATCTGACAACATCAGCATTCAGAGGGTATGCAGACCCATCTGACAACATCAGCATTCAGAGGGTGTGCAGACTCAGTGTGTCACAATACAGGCTATATAGCCAACACATGCAGTTAATTCTGGTCCAGTTTGGTTTTGGGATCAGCCTATTAGTACTGATTGAGAAGCATCTTGATGTGTAACTGGTTAAGCATCATAAGACATGAGCTGTTAGGGTAAAGGTTAGGTTCCAATTAAGGTAAGGGGAAGCTGACTTCAGTCCTGTGAAAGAAAATTTGGAATTTGTGCTATTGGGCTATATAAAATTTGACATGACTTTCCTCAGAATGTACTCTAATGAATTGGAATTAAACGGTAAAGAATCTTGGTGTATATCATGATATTTCACACCAGTGGTTCCTGGGGTTTTCAAGGTCATAGGGCAAATCCAAGGCATCATGAGATGAATAACAGAATAGGAAATTCTGTTGAACCAACTTGTAATTCCTCATAATGTTCCTTCTTTTTATTCACTACTGAAACTGTTGAACAACTTTAACACTTCAGTTAAGAAATTTATTCTTCAAAATTAGAAATCTGCTACTCCGCCATGTTTCACATGGTGGATCATGGAGATGCAAAAGCCATATAAATTGGACAGGTTCGGGAGAATTTGGGGGCCTTTTTCAGCACATTGTCCCATAGGCGTGAGGGTTTTGTTAATATCTGCAGTAAAGCATTTTGACAAGTAGCTTATAACAAAAAGTAATTTACGAGGAGGCTGTTAGACATGTATGCAACCAGTGTGGACAAATCACAAGTAACTTAGACGTTACTCTGCAAGCAAATAGCAGAATTAATGGCCGTGGCTTTGGATGAGATGTTCAGTGTAGCATCCACATGCTTTGTTTGCATCTGCATTCTTTTAGTCATGTTGTGTACATAGGGTTTAATGTAGACGTATTGTATTTCCATGCTCAGTCAGCTATTTATCATTCTCTCTCCTCTGTTCAGGTGGTTGTCATGAGCTCCTCCACCAGGCCACTGTGCAGCCAAAAATAGAGACAGAGGTGTTGCCGCTGCCTTCGCACGGCCGTAGGAGGAGACAGCTAAAGGTGGAATATGACCAGGACCAAGGTGTTTCGCTGATGAAGACAGAGCACTGGGAACCTCCAGACTGGAAGAAACAATTCGGATTTATTCGTGAGATGAGAAGCAGTCGGGATGCACCTGTAGATAGCATGGGAGCAGAGAAATGTTATGACCCAGAGGCCCCTGCACATGTAGGTCTGGTCTAGATTTTTGTTAAAACATGCACATAGTTCAGTAGGTTACATGAATACCTCTGTTATTCTGTTTGTTGACACAGGTTAGACGTTTCCAGGTGTTGGTGTCACTCATGCTATCCAGTCAAACCAAGGACCAGGTGACAGCCGCAGCTATGCAGAATCTCCGAGCGCACGGCTGCACTGTGGAAAATATACTCGCTACTGATGAAAAAACACTGGGAAAACTTATCTACCCTGTTGGCTTCTGGAGGGTAAGATAAAATAACTGTCGTTTTAGGATTTTTATGTGTTACATTCCCAAACTGACTGAAATCAGTTTGTGGCCATGCTTCCACCCCCACACCCTCCATCATTCATTCTTTTGTTCATGTTTTGCACCTGAAATAATTCTTGCCTGTTTTCTGCCACCTGTCTGAAGAATAAGGTGAATTACCTGAAGCTGACTTCAGCCATGCTGCAGAAAGAGTTTGGAGGGGACATCCCAAACTGTGTCGAGGAGCTGGTCCGCCTGCCGGGGGTTGGACCCAAAATGGCTCACCTGGCTATGAACATCGCCTGGGACCAGGTGTCAGGCATTGGTGGGAGCTCACACCCAAAGCACATTTACATTTTTTCAAAATTATAAATATCATGTGTGCACATGGTCTCATAGATGATCTGATCATCTGTATTTAGGTGTGGACACACATGTGCATCGTATCGCTAATAGGCTGGGCTGGCTCAGAAAGCCAGCCAAGAACCCAGAGGAAACACGCAAGGCCCTGGAGGAGTGGTTACCCAGGTAACAGTATGACAAATTTAGTGCTGACCCGTACAACCCGATCAGCAAGGAGCAACAAATATATAAAGGTCAGAGTCGCCAATGCTGTCCTAGAAACTCACAATTAGTCACTGAGACTGGCAACTGATAGGAACTTTCACCACATGAAGTGTTGACTGATAGCAGGCAGCTTTTAGAGTTCAAATTAGGAAAACTGACCATTTAGTGATTTAATTTTAAATCTGGGCGTACACTGTCAACTATCAACAAGATCATTAAAGCATTTACTTGATAAAATGTAGAGAAGCAAACATTGTGGATAGTGAGTAGCTAAAAGAAGACCTGTCATTTGTGCAGTCCTAAATCGCAAATTCTTACAATTAAAAGTATACAACACATCTTTGTTGGAAGCCAGGAAGCCCTTTTAGCTTTAGCCTTTTTAAACATCATTACTCAAAAGTGTAAACCCATACTGAAACCATAAGAATATTAATAACAACAAAACTGACTCAACAGAGAGAAAGTTTAACCTTTTTAGGAATTTTAAGAAAGGAAGCTCCATCACTGGCTGAAAAGTAGGTGGTTCAAAACCCAAGAAAAACATGATTAATCCTGAGACTTTTTTCTTCATCAGATTTTTCTTTTTTCTTATCATTGCCAAACTGAATGGCAATGTTTGAAGCACTGAGAGCTTCTGCATTACTATACTGCCTCAGCCCCTCAAGCTCCTTTGTGGTTTCTTTTTCCTTGATGATAAAGGAGTTAATCTTGGCTTTCTGGTTAGCCAGCTGTTGCTTTGTCTCCTTCAGCTCTTGGCTAAGTTGGATCCTCAAGTTTTGTTCATAGTTCAAGTTCTCTCTGCCCCTGCTCAGCATCCCCTGAAGCCTCCCAATTTCTGCACGAAATGCTTCGCAGGTCATGTTGGGCTTGTTTGTGGGAGATGGCTGTCGTTTGGGTCTCCGTTTTTGAGATCTGTTGGTAGAACTTGCCATTTTTTTTAACTGGTAGTCAGTTTAACTGGAATCAGTTTTCTCAAACACTGTACTATCTCTGTGAACAGATGTCTGTATTAGTTTTTTAACGTGCTTTCACACTGGTGTGTTACTTGTACAAGGTCTGAAGTTGAAATGCCTGGTGAGCTGCAGTTGATAGTGCCACAGACCTGATGATGTCACAGAGATCAAAGGCCCAATGGCTGTGATGATGTCATTCTAGTTTGTTTTGTTCCGGATTGGGTCCATGTTTACATTCAAAATCACCAGCTCAGTTAAATGTGCTAAGCTAACAGGCTACCTCAGTAACACTCAAACCCATTTTAAAACCTGCTATTAATCTCAAAGAGAAGATATTCTATAAAGCAGGTTGGGTGAAAACATGACTTTCACTTTCCCTGAACTCAGAGTGGACAAACTCCAATTTCACCTAAACCGGTTTGAATAAGTCTTGTTTGCTATTAGAAAGTAGACAGTTTGTATTTCTCTGCTCTACTTGTCTGCCGCTTTGGTCTGTTCCCTTCATTTGCCAGTTCAGAAAATACCTTGTTAAAATTGATCATCATGATCAACACTGTGTATAAACTCTTCATATGGTCAAAACCAAAAGTCTGAGAATGCAAAATAAAACACTAATTCACCTTTGTATTGCAAATATAATTACTTAAGTGAAATTAAAAATTAAGACCAGACATAAAACACAAAGAAAACACCACATTACACCATCAAGTTGGCACCAAACAAACAAATTGTTTATTTTTACTCGTTAAACTTCACTCACATTTATGTTATAGAAGTGACTACTTTTGTGGCTTGGAAGATTATTTTGCTTTGTTAACATCAAGATGATGTACAGTTGTTTGTTTTGACAAGATAAACTGTTGATAGCACTAATTTACAGGTTAGGTGCTATTAAACCACTGTAGAGCAAGAAAAGATTGTGGAAGATTGTGTGATTTAAAGAGTGCCAGTCAAACCTCTGACAGTGAAAACAATGTATAAAAAGAAAGAAAGAAAAGGCAAAATATGGCTTTCCTACTGAACTGAATGGGAAAGTATGGCCAAACTTTTTACTGGCAGCATACAGCTTAGATGTCCAGTTGCTAAAAGTTAATCCACACCTACCAACCCATCCAAACTGGGATTCTCTGTAGTCATGGTGTAATGAAATAGTACACAGTTCTGTATTTTGTTTTCTCTATGTTAGATCCACATGAAAAAAATTATTTCAGCTATTAAAGACAAAATGTAAATAGGTGTCCTTTAAAGCAGAGAAAACCATATTGGCAATCAGAGAGGATTTTATGTTTGTCAATAAATGTATCTAATCTGTTATTAAAGAGTTTTTCCAAAATTTTTGAAAATTGTGACAACAGAGAAACCGGTCCATAATTTGTGAAGTTGTGCTTATCATCAGATTTATACAATGGAATAACCTTTGCTATTTTCATATTATTGGGGAACTGACCAAGTCGAAACGACGTGTTAAAAATATGGGTTAATGGTTTGCATATCTCCTCAATTACCCATTTAACAGTTGTCATAGTGATACCATCACTATCACTGGATGTTTTGTTAACACATTTATTCACTATCTCTATAATTTCATTTTCATCTATGGGCTTCAAAAACATAGAACTCATGTTCCTTTCGATTGTATTATTATTTATAGTGACGGATGTATCATCTGTACAAATGCTTCTTGCTAAACCAGGACCAACATTCACAAAGAACCTATTAAACTTATCTACTACATCCTCCAATCTATTAACC